GTAAGAAACACTGCAGTTGCAACTCCGCAGTTTCCTTCAGCCACTGTATGGAATCGCTTGTCGACGCACCGCAGAACACGAAACGTACTCTCAGTAGTTTGTTTTATTTGTTATTTGTGTTATTTTGTGGATAGAAGTGTGTAAGTGTTTGTTGACACCAAGTTGTGTATTATGTCCAATGAGCAGTGTGTCCAGTGTGTCTCTCTCACCCCAATGATGGAGTGAGAGAGACACACACAACAGGCAGACAGACAAACAACACAACAACACACACACACACACACACACACACACACACACACACACACACACACACACACAACACACACACACACACACACACACACACACACACACACACACACGTACACACACACATGCACACACACACACACAGGGGAGAGATACAATAAAATTTGTCCTTTTCCTAGATCGCCAACATGAAACAACTGTCGCTTTTGTTGATGCTGACGACGATCATAGCTACAGAAGCACAAGGTAAGTTTTAAAGCCTTGCTATAAATTAATTAATTAAAGTTAAATACGATAGTTTATTGAGTTTTTATTGACGTTTATGCGATACTAATGAAGCCCTTACTACTATGATGTAAATATATCACAAAAAATATGAAGCAGCAGATATATTGAAAAAAAAATGTGAAACAAAATATATTACTTACAATGAAGTGTAAAACGCAGTATGAAAAAATTAAAACGTATAAACATGTACCATTACAGATTTTGTTTTCCACAGCCATGAATAAATGTCAAGAACTGTTTAAGTCAGTGGAGAACGTAAACACCGCCCGGTACAGGAACTATTGTATCGAAAAATACAACCTTCCCATGACAGGTAGGCTAACCTCGGAGTCACCCATACGCCGTGAATAAATCGTGTTATTATAATTACAAAGTACTTTTAAAGAACACAATATTTTTTTCCCAGTTCGTGAAGGAGCAAGCGATATCGAGTTCATTCTCCAGTATCAGAAGCTCAATGCAGAACAGAAAAAGACGTTAACTTTGTGCGTTTTCCAAAAAGAAGGATTTCTCACGGTGAGTTGGCGTCTCTGTATCCTTGCAATCTTGGTCTAAAATGTATTCATGTTTTAGGTATTTTCTTTGTATTTCATTTACACAAATTCCGGATTATGTTATTTCGTACGACTGAAAATACACACAACCAGCAATATCTGAGAACATGAAAATACCCCTAAGTAGTGCGAAACGAAACGCTATCAATAACTTTTTCTGTTTTTATCAGAGTGACGAACAGTTCAGCCCCACAGCTGTGAAGACGCAAGTGACGGAGGCGCTGCGGCGAATCGAAAAATCTCCGGAAAGAGATGAAGTGACAAAAGCCATTTCGACAGATGCGTGCCGTTTACGAGATGGCGATCCCGACGTAGGTGTATTGTGAGCGTTTTTTGTTATTGTATGTGTGCAGTAAGGATTGGTATATTGATTTGAGGTGTTGGAAATAGGAATGAGTTCGATTCTCTCTCTCTCTCTCTCTCTCTCTCTCTCTCTCTCTCTCTCTCTCTCTCTCTCTCTCTCTCTCTCTCTCTCTCTCTCTCTCTCTCTCTCTCTCTCTCTCTCTCTCTCTCTCTCTCTCTCTCTCTTCTCTCTCTCTCTCTCTCTCTCTCTCTCTCTCTCTCTCTCTCTTCTCTCTCTCTCACATTAATATTCTCTGAATTTGTTACTTTATTTTTTTCTCTCTACATGTTTGTGTATGTGTGTACAGTGTATCTCTCTGTATCTGTCTATCTCCCTGTCTCTTCCAAATTGTTTCTCTCTATATATTTCGAACTCTCTCTCAAACTTTCATTCACAGTTTCTCTCAAACTTTCCCTTCTCTCTGAATTTCCCACACTCTAATACTCTCTCTGAATTTCTTACTTCTTTCTCTCTCCCTACATATGTGTTTGTGTATGTGTAACCAAATAAGAATAGATAGCTCACTCCCCTTCTAAATCCAACAGATGATAGAAACCCTCAAGTTCATGATATGCTTGAAGGCAGCATGTTCGACAGCAGAGACTTCCCAACCTGATGTGGAATTACTTCCGGTATGAGTATTTTATGAGAGATACTGATGACAGTGTGTGGTAGTTTACTTCTCTTTTAGTATATGATATTTTTTTTCATCCATTGATTACTTTTGATTATTTCAAATAACATTCACTACATTTACTGCAGTTTTCATTATCATGCATTACCCAAATAACTGTCAGATACATTCACTGATTCACAACTTCTTGGAAGATAAAAAAGAATCGCGTCAGGAGTATAACTTTCTTATCAAACCTGAAATAGTAAATTTCGTAATATATTATGAGTAAAAGTATACCTGGCGACGTATGGCAGCATTATTATCAACTCACGGCTGGCGCAGTGAATCAGCAAAAGTTCCCACTCATATCAACATTGGAAACTTTGCTGATTCACTGTATCATCGATAATACTTTTGGTATTTTTTGGCTTTTGCAAGTGTGCTGATTTCTTCACCTTTACGATACACATACTGCATATTGCACAAAACCACAAGGTATTTTTGTTTAATGGTAAATATTCGTAATACCTTCGCATAACCGATTACGACGATATTGGTATCGATGGATTCCTCACACCCTGTACTACCTAAATAGAAATTGTGCCGCCGTCCGCCAATACCCACAGTCCTGGATCCGATAGCAGGGGAGGGCATGAATGGTACCAGGGATATTGCAGGGTAAAATATAATTAACATACAGAGAATTGATCAATATATCTTCAAATGTAGGGGGCTGCTGTCTCCGAACCCCATCCTGGACAACAAAGAATCGGCATGTACGGCAAGACAGAGCGTCGGACTGACTCGGAATCGAACGTTCACGCATATCGATCGCACGCTCTACCCTGCCATGGTAGTAGCCCATCCAGGACGTGGGGTCGCAGGAAGCACAACCCCCCGCATTAGACAATATAGTTACTGATTCTGTGTATATGAATCATATTTTACCCCGTAATTTCCCTGGTACCTTCCATTCCCTCGCCTGCTATCGGGGCCAAGAATGTGGGGGTTTGGTGGGAATCCGCGGCAAATGTCCTACATACTTTGGTCGGAGAGGGTGAGAGGAATCCATCGACACCAATATTATCCTGATCGGTCATGCGAATATTCACCTTTGATAAAAGAAACTAGCATTTTTTTCTTATTTCACAATGTAAAACTATTTTGTGCTAAACCTTAATAACAGAGGTATTATCATTACCTATGTCTAGTATCATTATGCATTTAGAGAGGATTTTTTAACATTTATTCTGTAGTATGGACACTGTTTTATGGAAAATCTTTTGGTAACTATTAAGAGAAAATGGGTATTTTACTGGTAACCCTCTAGAAACATCCTATATAAATATATTGTGCATCTCTTGTGTATTTGCCTGAGGTACAAGTGTAAATATAATTGACATGTACAACTAAAGAATAAAGGTTAAAAGCTTATTACGTGACATGTAAGAACCTCCTGAACAACATGACTGCGACAGAAACTGCACAACTCTATCCTCTACACCAAGGTTTTCCAACCTAGGGTACATGTACTCCAAGGGGTCTATTTGCATTTCACAAATCTTAAAAGATATAGAAAAAATAATAAGATGTGAAAAGGGTATACTACATGTCTGTGAATATTGAAAAAAACAGTATTATACAACAGTCTCTCACAACAGAGAAAGTTCTCATCCCTGTATCATGATACAAAGTTACGTATATGCAAGAATTCATCATTATCATTCGTTCAAATTCCTTAGTCTGTGTGAAAATAGATGCTATGATAAAATAATAAACTTTAGATTATACGGAATCTGTCAGAATGCCTAGGAAATACAAAAGAAAATAATAATAAAAGAAAGAAAGAATGATGGGGACCTCTGCCGCCCACTGCAATGTACCTAGGAAGGATCATACACAGATTTTTGGAATCATTTCTCTCTTTACTTTGCAAATTGAGATACTTTATTAGAGTTTTCAGGACCACTGAACTCTGAGGAAATTTTATTTGACTTTGACCTGGCACGCCTAAAGACTAGTTAATTCTTAAGTTATACCACTCATTTCTGTGTACTGATAATAACCTTTATGCCGTTGACATACAGCTTAATACAGTAGATACTTTTACTCTCGAAATTAAGCCACGAGGAGAGTTTAAATAGAATTAGTAGAAAGATCCGTTTTTTTTTATCTTTCTTTCTTTTTTTCTTTAATTCTTTCTTCCTTATTTTCTTTCATATGGGGCGATTCTTCGTTATGAAAGATTTTACTGGCTGCACCTCCTACGACATGGTAATAGGATATGTAAAGAAAAGGAATATATGCAAAAATAAAAAGAATATATGTAAGAAGCTAAACGTGCGTAGTGATTCTCGTATAAAATATAAAGCGTATGGTTATTTAATCTCAAACTGATGTCGGATTCACTGAATAATTTGTTGTCAGCGCTTTCAAGAACTATTTATTTTTGATAGATTGTCGTTAATGCACCCTATGTGATACATCAGGTTGGTGGGATTTTAATGCACATTGCTACCAGGTAATAAAATCTATAGGATGTTTAGAAATAAATATGCTAGGAGAAAGTAGGACCGTTTTTTTTCGAGGCTGTGTTTTGCGTTTATTTGGTATTAACCAAACAATTATAAATACGGCATTTCCGGTCTGATTTACAACGACATAAACAAAACCGCTTCCTAAAAGGGACGCCGCGTATTTTAAAACGTATGGTTGACTATTCTGGTATCATCAACTATTTGCAGAAACACAAGCAAGAGCCGCTAATGTTATCATCGCCTTTCAACATAGGCCTATATAAAACATATTTCATTGTTTGTTTAGCTTTATATAATGTGAAACGGAGCAAATCCGGGTCCTTTTGAAACGGAAGGGATAGCGGTATCCCCCGGGACTCTTCGCTTTATGTACCCTTAGCCTAAAGACAGGGCAGTGATATTACAATTAG